CATGCACATTTTGCATGACTCCTCAAGTCTGTGATGCATGCCCTAGCATCACGGATTTTTAGAGGGCTTCCTGATGCCTATTCCGCATGGCAAATGCTCTTTCCGTACTGCAAAATTTGGACTCTCTTGGCTGCTCATGCAATACAGATTTTTTTAGAATCCAAAATCAGCAGGATAAGTTGGATTCTTCCAGACCCAGACATTTTTACAGTTGATATTGGTGCCGCAGCTGCAACCGGCATAGAAACCTCCGTAGAGGGCAAAGCGAAGTCGGCTCTGCGCAGGTTAGGCGAGGACGAACACGGGCGAGTAACCGATTGGCGGTTCGTTTCCTTAGCAGAAACCTTCCGAGATTTCGAGTTCGTTTCCGCGGCGGAGACTGATATTGACAGTGAAAGAACTGAAAACAACAGTAAGGAGAAGCAAGATCATGGGTCGAAGAACGAAAAGAAATCGAAATCCACTTCATCCCAGGACCTAGTAGAAGAAGGTGACTTGTTATTGTCCCCCCAGAGCAGACGCACCCTGCAGACCGTCCGTCCCCCGAACCCCTTCTGCGACGGCCCACCGCCCGCTGGCGACTGCACAATACCTCTAACCGACGAAGATAAGTGCACGTTTTATAACAATCTTTTCCAGTCCACCGTCGCGGTTTCCACCGACACCACCTTCGACCCAAATTTCCAATCCAGAGGATTTACCCAGGTCGACACAAGTGTCGAGTTCGGGTTTAAGAATGAGTTGAAGCTCAAGATGAACGCGCCGAAGGGAAAGTTGATCAAACTGATAATATATCAACTGCAAATGTCTGGGTCTGGAAGAAGGTTTCCAGACTTGTCATGCAGGTTTTCCATGACCTTGACCCATGAGGTCTGGTATGTAGGACATAGCATGACAGATTCTGTGATAGTTCTATGATGCCTATTCTGCATGAGAAACTGCATCTCGATTAGCAGAATTCCTGGAAGAAGTGTTTGACGAAGAAGGGAGAACAAATAGAGAAAGACTGCAAAAAGCGGAGGCTAAGCTGCGCACGAGAATACAAGGCTATACAAGGGAGGGGACATAGACGCAAGCTTTCGGGACTACGACCACCGGACGGAGGTAGACGAAATATACCAAAAGGAGGCCGGCCCACCAGTGACGGGATACAGGAGAGGAGAAAAAGTCACAACAGGGCAAGGGAAAGAGAAGAAGGGCGAAAAAACAAGAAAGACGGAATTTCGGCACTACATGGGAAAGCTTCCGCACGACAACAAGAGAAAATGGGCCCTAGCGGTTCAATATGTGGACGACGGGACTACTGTCCTGAAGTTTTTTGTAGAAGATATAGAAGTGGTAGCGGCAGCTTTGAGAGCAGCAAGCTGGGCGCGCCAAAAAATCTATGAAACAGAAGGACAATTTTTGGCGCCCATGAAGTGCGAACTTGCCACGTCGCTGAAAGAGGCAGGCTTTCCAGCCTTTTGGAATTATGTTCGAAGAGAAGGACTTCCTAAAGATCTTAGGAATAAGGATAGTGCCAACGAACAAGGAGGGACAGCGCAAGGCTCTCAGGGGCCAAGTTCAGCAGAGCATAGGAATAGGGCAGCACCTGGCGTGCCAGGTCATGTCAAGACGGAAAAAACTAGAGGGGGCGGAGCTGGTGTGGATAGTCCAGGCGTTCTCTGTATCGTCGATGATATATTTTCTACCGGTGACGCAGCTCTATTTCGACATGCAAGACTGGGCGACGATGCTAGGGGAAATATCGCTAACAACAGCAGAGACGATAGGGATGACAGAGGAAACGGCTGAAGAACTGATGAGAAAGACGAACACAAATGCAGAAACCTTCTACCGTGTGGCTTTCGGGGCGAAGATGCTAGGAATTACAGACCCATTCACGCTGGGGCTGAAAACACTAAGAGCAACAGCCCAAGCAAACGACTTGACAGACCCGGGGAGTTTCATCCAAATGGCAACAATGCCGCTCAAAATAGTAGGTGAATCGAAAGCAGGAATAGCAAGAGCCGTGGAAAGAAAGATCATGAAGAGAAAAGAAGCTGGCATAGCATTACTGCAGGCACTCAGAGACGGAGCATCGGTAAGGTTGTCTGCGGGGAGCGATCTGCGGGGGGTGGGAATAGTAAGAAAAACTAACAAAGTAAAGCCGCAGATGGTACAAAGTCAGCACGTGCGCAGATGCGACAGGAGTCTGCTTGCGGACAAAATAAAACAAGGGGGGAAAGGCAAGAAAGGGCAAAGTGACTACATGGCGAAGATATGGGTAAAACACACGGAAAAGGAAGAGGCCACGACGGTAACAATAGAGGAATGGAAAGGGAAAGAAGAGCACATGGCAACAATTGAAACGAGGCAGGATCACCTAAAGACAGAAGTTAGGACAGAAGAACGAAAATTCGTAGCGTATTGCAATAACGCCATAAGAGCGATAGAGATGGTGAAGAAGCAGCAACGCGAAGGGAGTGGAGGGGTGTGCGTGTGCTTGCTGGATTGCGACGAGATGAAAGAGAAAACGCGGGGGCTCCTGCGGAAAGAACAAGGGAGAGCGCTAGAGCTGCAGGAGGAAATAGAAAAAGCAGAGGAACAGATCCCGGGATTAGCAGCAGCCAGGCGCTGGGGGAAGCAGAACGCGCCCAAAACCCTCGCAAAGAGAGAAGCACAAGGGGGCTATACAGAAGTGATACCCTTGAAGGTGGCAAACGTATCGAAGCACGACGACGAATATGCCGAATGGGTTCAGTACGATTTCGGGGCTAAAAATGTACCGACAAAACCGGTCTGGGAATGGCCGGAAATCAATGCCAAAAATAGAAAGACAAGTGTGCATCTACCGGAAGACTATAGGAGATGAAAAGAAAGAAGGGCAGAAAACGGAGAAGGGAAGCGGTGACGGCGGGGACGACAGAAAGAAAGGCAGCGCAGGAGAGAGGAAGGGGAAGGGGGCAGGCAGCAGTGCGAAGGGAAACGCTCGCTGCGGAAAAGGCCCCAAGGGGAACACTGCGCCGACAGACACGAGCAGGGAGATAGGCAGCGGGTCATTAGCAGAAACAATCAGAAAAATGGTAGAAGGGGAAAAGATAAGAGCACAAAAAGAAGGAAGCGAAATGCTGCAGAGGGCGCTGGACATAATAGGAAGAGCCACAGACCTACTAGAAACAGCCGAAGACGTTCCACTAGAATCCCGCGCGACGTCGAGCAGCAGCACCAGGAGAGACGTGCCGGAAATAACAGAAGAGCGAAATGAATCAAAAAAAGAAGAAAAGGACGAAACAGAGGAAGATGCGTATTTCTACCCGGCGCAGGAGTATCAGGGAAGCCGCCCAGGATATGTGTACAAACTTGGGCATTTTGGCATGGGGTATTATAAGGATCAAGGACCGGAGGAGGCAACGCGGGAGATGTTTCAAAAAATTACGATAGGGGGGCCAGGAGGCAAACTGCCCAAGAGGGAAGTCTCGAAAGAACAGAAAACAGCGAGCAAAGAAGTCGCAGGAGATGCGACGCGACATGAGAAGAACACGCAGCAAGTGCGCCAAGTGCCGGAAAAGGAGGAGGAAACAGAAGCGACAGCACGAGAAGCAGCAGAACCAGCTGGAGAAGGGGGACTTGGAGGACTGAGGAAGAAAATCGCTAAAGATATAAGCGAAACAGAGATGGCAAAAGAAGATAAAAAGGAAGAAAAAAGATTCCCAACGCTGGAGGAGCTGAACGAGAGGGACCGGAAGCGGGACCGCGAAGAGGCAGCGGAGCGGGAAGACGAGCGCAAGCGGCAGGAAGAAAGGAGATCCATGAAAAGACTGAAGTATGAAAACCCATTACAAGATGAGTTAGCCCAGATGTATAGGAACACGCGCTGAGAAATAATGATGAAGGAAATGTTCAAAAATGATGAAAAGAAAGGGAACAGAGAACGAAACAGAAGGGCGCATAATGGGGGCGCAGTGTTCTGGGTGTCGGCGGAGGGGAGAGGAAGCAGAGGAAAGAAAAGGAAGAGAAGAAAGAAAGTGGCTCCCTTGGTCGTCACAGCTAGCCTGCAAGGGCTCCGTTTCCGCCAGCTGAAAGGCACGGCGGTGCTAATCGTCTCGTCCTCGCCAGCCGATAGGCACGGCGCTGCTATCCCGTCGTCGTCATTGCGTCCCTTTTACTAGTAGGTGGAAACAGGGTTGCTAAGTTAAAGACTGCGCTAAGGCAGCGCCCCCCTTCCCCAAGGGGCCCCCCGGGGCGGGCGCGGTGGCGGCTCTGCTAACGCGGAGCTTCAAAGTCCGACTCTACCTATGCGCATAAAAAGTAAGGGCGCGCGGAAGCAGGTCGGTAAAGTGCTTGAAAGGGGCATGCTTTGGGGTTGCCCGTCATCGTGATAGGGTCAACGTGTGTGACCAATAGACCCCCTGTATATCATAGCGCGCAACCGACCACAAAAGCAGTAGCGTTTGACGTTTGTAAGAATAACCCCGCAAGGCAACACTGGAGCTCCACCTTGCTCGCGGGCTTGGATGGTAAATCAGGTCAGCCACATCTAACGCCCACTGGCCGTATACACGCGTAAGAAATCGGAAACGGTTCAGCGGATGCGGTCGGGTGGTACCTGTAGGACGTGGAACGGGTGTCCACCTAGGGGTATTGGCAGAGGCTAAATCTGTTCTAGCGCCACGGTATTGGCAGAGGCTAAATCTGTTCTAACGCCACCCTGACAGGAGTCAAATGCCAAAGCGATACGATGCGACTAGGTCGCACGTGGACAGCTTTTGGTAATCATGCAACACAGATTTCTACGTGATTCAGATTTAGCATTACAAGTTCCAACCTTCGAGACCCAAACATATTTGCAATGCATATGATACGGAACGTGGAGTTACCGGTAACTGGCGGCGAAACGCTGTTCGACTTGACCACCTTCTTCCGCGGGCAGATCCAGGACCAGAGTCTCTCCTGTTGCCGGCCCGGGGGGACGGTTAATCCTTCTACGCCGTTGATTTCCTTCAGGATAGCAAGAGCTCTACCGATCTTCATGGCGGCGAACAAAAACGAATTTAGGAATGACCCAGACAGGTACCCTGTGGAAGCGGATTTACCAATCAGATTTGGTGACAATAGTTTCATCGAGTTCAAGTTCATCGCGTCCGGGCCGGTGGCGCCGGGGAATGTTTTGGAGATCCAGGGGCCCGCCGGATACCGGTTTGTCCCGGATTTTTTCCAGCTGCGGGATATGGGCCCGGAGGGGTTCTGTCCCCCCCCGAAGCCGGGGGACGAGGGGTGTGCCTACCCCTATTTGTCGTTGACGGTGAATAGGATTTTGGACAACGGGATGGACCAGCCGAGGTTGATTCTCACCATGGACACGAAGGACGAAATTTGGTTGAAAATGTACAGGACGATCAACATGGTCACCGTCGAGAAGAAGGAGTACGACGCAACGGATCCGGCGAATGTGTATTTGTTAGAAAGAGGGTTGATCGGGGACGATTTGGTGGTGGATGTGAACGCCACGGAAGTTACAAACGTTCTCCCCCCGCCAAGCTCCATGCCCGATAACCAGATCTACTTTGGCAGGAGGTACGCATTTATGCATTGCAAAAGCATCGTACTAGTATAAACCGCAATACAAATTTCCTTAGCATTAGAAATGGAATTTGTAATGCGGATTTGCCTTTCCAAGACCCTCCGGTTTGTTTGAGAAACATAGACCCTCCGGTTTGTTTGAGAACGGATACTATCCCTTTCCAAATCAAAACACATTAGGACCCGGGGGGACAGGAAGAGCCCCCCGGTAGCGCTAGTCTCACATGGGTGCACACATAAGGACGTTGACGGAGAAACACACACACACACGCAAAAACACGTCGGCCAAAAACAAAAATAAAATGCGTCCTGCACAAACTGCCCTCACTCACTCACCGGGTGGATGCGCCGCCGAGGTCCGCAGATAGCTTATTGAGAAAAAGAATAAGACTAGTAATAGCTTAGTAAGAAAGAAAAAGATAGAAGTCGCAAAAACTACTACTAATGTTTTTGTGCTAGAATAGCCGCGCCGCTGAACAACGGGAGACGGCCTGTCCGGTGAGTGAGTACGCCGTCAACTGCTCGCCGGGGCGCTGCGTGGAAGGGCAGCGTCGCCGCAAGTCGAGCCGGGGAACTAGTTTCTTTGCTTTCGACTGCCTTTTATTTTTTATGTTCCCCGTCATCTCAATTCCCCCTTAACTTGCCGCCTTACTCTTCACGGACATCTCGTGGATGACATCAGCGCGTAGAACGGTTCGAACCAGCCTCGGGCTACAAGGCGACAGGTAAACCATCCCTACGCCCTCCGCTTTGACCTTGACGAAACTGACTACCAAACACTCTGGGGATTTCTATCAGCAACAGCATTGCCGACACCTAGGGCCACGCCACCGCGCCTTCCGAGGGTAGATCAGACGGACCACAGAAGGGCGCTGCGAGGTGGCAACGACATCACTGAAGCGGGAGAGCGGATACAAGGCCTTCGCTCAACTGTGTGGTGTGCGTTGTTTACTAGTCCTAGTTTCATCGTCCGCGTGTTACTAGCGTCCTGACCCTTCAGGTCGTCCCTGCCGCCGGTGGTCACGTCCGCGTGGCGCTATCAGCGAATCAGCGAAAATAGGTTATCTCTCTCTCTCTCTCTAATGCGGATTTGCCTTCAGAAAATGCATGACTGCGATTACTACGAGTGCGATACTTTTGCACAGGATAGCATTGCAGGCGAGGGTACAGGGACCGCAACAGGCGGCGGTATTATAAAGTTTTTTTGTTGTTGCTTGTTCTTTCCAGCATGACAAAATGAGTCTTGTCTTCGAAAATAAAGTCTTGCATCACAGACTACACGACATGCGATCCGTTCCAAACCATACCAAAACAGCCCCCGCCCAACCACCAGTTCCAGATCAAATTCACAACCTTAGTCGCGGTCAACAACGGGGAATATCCAAATGACCTCGGCCCCAGCCCAGATTTCAACATGACCCACTGCATCCCCTTTCGAATCAGCAAATCCATCCTCGCGTTCCATGACCCGGACATCACCTATCCGCTAGAATGGCAGTCCTTCGTCGCCGCAGATTCCTTCCTCGACGTGAAACTCGAGTTCCCCCGGAAGTTCCCGCAGGATCTAGGGTTGACAAACCTCGAAGTCTACCCGCCTTCTTCCGGGTTTTTCCTCCCGAGAGGGCAAATTTTCAGCGACCGACAAGAATATTTACCGTTGCAGTTCGCTTCCATCACGGTGAACAAAATCCGGCCGTTCACGGCGCCGGTGGAAATCAACGGGACGACGTTATACCCAGCGACGAAGTACGTGCAAGCGCCGGGGGGCGTTATCAAATGCAAAAATGTCTGGATCTGGAAGAGTGTAAACTTGTCATGCAGGTTTTCCATGACCCTTGAAGTCTGGAATGCGGGACCTAGCATGACAGAGTCTGTGAGGTCTCTTTCATGCCTATCCTGCATGAGAAAATCCCTCCCAACTTGGTCAAAAGTGGACAGCTTTTGGCACTCATGCAACACAGATTTTTGCATGATTCGGATTTAGCATGACAAGTTGCAATCTTCCAGACTCAGACATTTTTGCAATCCATAGGCGTGAATCTGAAACTAGTCTGCGACCGGAACGACTCAACCCCGATAAACAAAGACGTCGAGCTATTATATGTAGAAACGTCCCCACCCCATAGTCAAGTTGGGATCTTAGCAACACAAATCTAGAAGTTTTGGGAGCCTCGCATGACAAGTTGCAGTTCGTAGTGTACTGCAGGTTCGTAAGGACAGCGGCATCACAAATCCATCTGCTCATCCTGTTCCCGGCATTACAAATCCCAAAACACGACTAGCAATTGCCTCTCATGGGGACCCGCATTACAAATGTTTCTGTAGATGCAAATCTGCATGACAACTATGGGGTGGGGACGTTTTTACTCAGCATACGAGCCGGTCCAGAACTACCACTGGTACATCATCGGGAACGCGAAAAACCCGACGACCGGGGTGGTTTCTACTCTCGGTTGGGAGCGGTATGAGCCGAAGGATTTACTCGTTTCCCAGTTCTATGCATTGCAAATATGTCAAGGAATGCAAACTTGTGATGCGCATTTCACAACACATACAAATCTCTCATGCCGCAGCGGCAAAAGCTGCCCACTTTCTGACACCAAAGTGGGGAGTTTGTCATTCGGATTCGGCGTTCCGGAAGCTTTTCGAAATCTGTGATACCAGAGCTTCCATGCCAGACCTTCTGCGTCATGCAAAAACAGCATGACTCTTCCAGACCGAGACATATTTGCATTTCATAAGTTCCCGGTGCAGTGGAATCCAGAGACGAAGTGGATCGCTGGGTCGCAGGTGGAAGCCATGTTTGAAATCAAATTCAGAATACCGCTGCCCGTCGGTGGCGCAATTTACATCAAAGCGCCGCCGAATTACCGGTTTAGGTGCCCGATTACGAACATCATGGTCCTATCATATGTAAAAACGTCCCCACCCCAGAGTTGTCATGCAGATTTGCGATTGCAGGAAGATTTGCAATGCGCATCTCCATGAGAGGCATTGCCAGTCGTGTTTTGGGATTTGTAATGCTGCAAACAGCATAAGCAGATGGATTTGTGATGCGGTTGTCCTTGCTAACATGCACTACTTACACTACGGACTGCAACTTGTCATGCGTTGCTCTCAAAACTTCTGGATTTGTGTTGCTAAGTTCCCAACTTGACTATGGGGGTGGGGACGTTTTTACATATGATAGCTCCCGGAGCCGAGTTACATGCCAATTTGCGTGTTTAACCCCATCCATCCTCTGTTGCAGGGTTGTGGCAGGATAGAACGGGATCTGCAGCAGGTGACTTTTGACATAAACCGTTTGGAAAACAGGATCGAGTATCTGAAGGAACTGAGCAAAATCAAACCCCAGGAGATGACGCCGCAACAGAGATTGACTTTCATCTCCGAAACGGTGAACGGGACGAGGAGGGAATTAGATGTGAAAATGCTGTACAAGAGGGAATTAGAGGAAATCATGGAGTACGTGCCGCCACCAAGTTCTGAAACCGATTCAACCACGATCACAACTTTGACGATAACCAGTACCGCGTCTGGCGGGTTCTCGATCACAAATACTCCGCCTACAACCACGACAACAGAGCCGCCCACAACCCTCCCCCCGAACGGCCTGGCGACGACCGCCAAGCCGGAGGGGAAGCCGCCGAGCGGGTGCGAGCTGCGGCACGAGGTCTTGTTTGCTTATCAGACGACGGATTACCCGCTATGAACTGCAAATGTGTTTGGGTCTGGAAGAATTATGCAGAAGACTTCTCATGATGCACATTTCGCAAGACCCATGATGTCTGTGATGCATGCTCTAGCATCACAAACTTTTTGAGGGCTTTCTGATGCGCATACTGCATCGTAGCACAAAATCGACTCCTCTTGCTGGTCATGATGCAATACAGATTTTTTTAGAATCCGAAGACAGCATCAGAAGTTGCCTTCTTCCAGACCCGGACATATTTGCACTTCATACCCGCCGGTGTTCTACGAAACGAAGATGACCCGGTCGATCCGCGATCCGATCACGGGTATGCATTGCAAAAGCATCGTCAGGAGAGGTCCTAGGAGTAATCTTCGCAATCATGCATTGCAAATCTCTTTCGCAAGGGAAATCGGCATGACAGATTCCATCTGTCATGCTGAACTAATTTGTAATGCAATCACTACTAGAAGCACAAGCAGCGCGACACTTTTGCAATGCATAACTGGCATCCGGCAGGAACGGTCGCAGCAGGTGGCGATCCCGATCATGACCTACAAGTTCAACATCCGGATGGAACTGCCGGATATGCATTGCAAATATCGATCTGTGTCTGGAAACTTGTGATGCTAATTTATGAATTGCGGGGATCACACTGCAATAGGCAGCCGCGCATGACAAGTTTCTGGGCTCCTTTGTGTTTCGCTTTCCGCATGACAAATAACTACATTTGTGCATGACAGGCAAGCGGCTCTTTATTTCCTGCTCCCGCATTACAGGTTCAAGACTCACATATTAAGACAAGCATGACAAGCTTGCACTCTACTTCCAGACCCGGACAACATATTTGCATTGGATACCGGAAGCGGACGCGCAGCTCCCGAACAGCAACCGGTACAACGATTTCGACGTGATTATGCTGGACCGGATGAAGAGAACCATTGACAACAACGTGGCGGTATCCTGTGCAAAAGTGTCGTACTCGTATTGCAGTCATGCATTACAAATCTTTTTCTTAACGTAAACCCGCATTACAAATTTTCTCTCTCATGCTGAGAGAATTTGCAATGCATTTAAATACGAGTACGATACTTTTGCAATGCATAGGCGGTGCCCGTCCCCCAATTCTACACGGACTACAAAGTGACCAACTTCATATGCATCGCAAGAGCATCGTGCCAAGTAGTAGCAAGCGCATGACAGATTTACTGCGTAGCATGTTGACAAATGGACTTTGTAATGCTGATTTGGCTTCGCAAAGAACATTTCTCTTGCAGGAATGCGATTAGTGGCGCGTCGTGCACGATGCTCTTGCAGTGGATACTTCACCTTTTGGTACGACCACGAGCGGACGCGGTTCCGCACTCAGGAGGAAAATAAAGTGATCAACGGGATCGACGAGGCCTATGACCCCTATCCTATGTAAAAACGTCCCCACCCGCCCATAGCTGTCATGCAGATTTGCCAATGCAGGAACATTTGTAATGCGCACCGGCATGGGAGGTACTTCCAATCGTGTTGTGGAATTCGTAATGCTGTAAACGGGATACGTGCGTGGCGTTGTGATGCGGCTGTGCTTGATAAACTGCACTCCAAGACACAGAGGAACTTGTCATGCGTGACTCTCAAAAGTTCTGGATTCCTGTTGCGAAAGCCCCATCTTGATGACTATGGGGTGGGGACGTTTTTGCTCAGCATAACCCGCGCGGAAAAATCATCCCCTTCTATGTCACGATCGCCATCAACGAGCGGATTCCGGCGGGGCGGGGGTTCAAGGTGATGGAATTTACCGTCCCGGACAATGGGTTTGGCATGGAAATCGCCTTGCCGACGGATGTCCAAGTTCTCTCCGAGGCCGTGCCGGTGCGAAGCTGGGGGTGGGATCCGAATTCGGCGCGGATAAAACAACTCTTCTTCAACATGCCGGACATTGACGACATCGACTACAATGGGATCCTATCAAATGTAAAAATGTCTGGGTCTGGAAGAATGCAACTTGTCATGCTAAAATGGAAGCATGCAAAAATCTGTGTTGCGTGATTACCAAAAGCTGTCCACTTTTGACCTAATCGAGAGGCAGTTTCTCATGCAGGAGAGGCATGATAGAACTCTCACAGAATCTGTCATGCTCTGTCCTACTTGCCAGACCTCATGAGTCATGTAAAATCTGCATGACAAGTCTGGCATTCTTCCAGACCCAGACATTTTTACAGTTGATAGATCCCGGCCGGGCAATTCGCGTTCTCCATCCCCATGAAGCTCCCGGACACCACCGAGGCGATTTACGGGCTATCAAGTGCAAATATGTCTGGGTCTGGACAAGCGCAAACTTCTGATGCGCATTTCAGACGACGCAAATATCTGTCATGCATGGACAGCAAATGTCACCCATTTCTTATCACTGAGAGTGGGGATTCGTCATGCGGATCAGGCATTGAGAATCCTCCTCAAAACCTGTGATGCTAGGGCTTGCATGCCAGACTTTCTTGATCAGGTAAAAACAGCATGACAAGTAGCATCTGCACTCATCCAGACCGACACATGTTTGCAGTTGATACGGGCTGCAAGGCAACAACATTCAGGAGTTCACGTCGCAGGACCGGAATGGGGAGTACATGAACTTCTTCAAAGTCAAATTTTGCAACGACTTTCCGTTTATGCAAGGCAAAAGCATCGCAGCGTTGTAAATCGCATGACAAATTTTCTCAGCATGATGAGAAATGCAATTTGTAATGCGGATTTAACTTGACAAAAAAATTTGTAAAATTACAATTTTTTTTGTCAAGTTAAATCCGCATTTATGCATTGCATAAATGCGATTAGTACGAGTACGAAGATACTTTTGCAATGCATACCCTTCTGCATCGAGAAACTGGCAGAGTTCAAGGTCCCCGGGTTTCAGTTCAACGACGTCACCAGAGACGACTTCATCGTGCAGCCGGACGGGTTATCCAGTGCAAATATCGATCTGGGTCTGGAAGAGTGCAACTTGTGATGCTGTGTTTGGATTCTACAAAAATCTGTATTGCATGAGCAGCGAAATACGGAGTCCACCTCTTGCTCTTGCTACGCGAAGAGGGCGTTTGTAATGCGGGTTCGGCATGATCAAGACGGCCTCAAAAAATCTGTGATGCTAGGGCGTACATCACAGACATCATGGCTCACGCGAAACGTGCATGACAAGTTCGCATCCTTCCAGGAGACCCAGACATATTTGCGATGCATACGGGTTTGGCAGCGAAAAATACAGTCGGACGACTGATCGGGTGGTAATATCCTGTGCAAAAGTATCGTACTCGTAGTGATCGCAATCATGCATTACAAATCTCCCTCTTAACCGAAATCGGCATTACAAATTCCATTTTTCATGCTGAGGGAATTTGTCATGCGATTTATATATACTAGTACGATGCTTTTGCATTGCATAGGTAAAAACGCTGGCTGATTTTCAAGTCGACGAAGGCCCGCAGTCGTCGGGGGCGACTTCTCGTAGAGGGATTAAATGGAGCAGCATCAGTGGCATCCTCGCTGGAGGCGGTATTTGGTGGTTGGGTACAACTTTGATGGTAGCGCTTTCGTACAGCCATCATGTTCATGCGGTTGCTTAGGAAAGAAGGAGCTGGAAGACGAGGAAGCTCAACTTTTCAACATTTATTCCAAGAATCTAGTCGTGGCTTTTCTTGTTGCGTTCACGACATGGTAGGAGCAAGAGCAAGTTCGCCGTGTATATTGTTTTTTTGGACGCAGATACTAAGTGCGTGAATCAAGCAAGAAGCACAAGAGCAACCAAGTTGAAGAATATCCAAGATTTTAGCAATAGCAACCAAGTTGAGGCGTGAAATTATCAGCATACTTAAAGCAGACCAAGAAAGTCGAGTCTCAAGAAAGGAATTAAACCAAGTTTCCGTTTGCAACTAAATCTCCTACAACAACTCGTATGAACAATTAGCTTCACAACAACATGCATAAAGCTCTAACCGCTGCTCTGCGCAAAAAAAGCACCGCAAGCGCTTCGGTCTTCCTACGAGGACCCACCAGGATGGAGACAAAGTGACAGAGACAAAGCTTCTCTCGCTCCACCTTTGTGCTGCATCGTAGGTAGATGCGAAGAGGTTGATGGTCATGCTCCTGCGACATATCAGATTCAGATTTTTTTAAAGGGAGCTGGTCTACGACCGCTCTCAACATATTGTAGAAGCGCAGCTACAGTCAGACATGATGACCGCGGCAGAAGCTGCCAGGGTGGTCGTGTCGACAGTTCAGCAAACCAAGTTTCCGTTTTTCTACACTTCTATGCAATAAATCCGTTTCGTAGTGGTCGCATTTGTTTCTAACTAAGTAATACTATCACTTCTCCTTATTCAAATTTAACTATGATGGTGCTGGTACAGCAAATTGCTGGACACGATGAAATAGAATCCGTTTCTGTGTGCTGACCGAAAACGTTTCTGAAGTTTCTGGAGTTAATTACAATAGCCGATAGAAGTTGCAACAGCGACACAACGATAGTCCAACGCAGCTGCAACAAGAATCTGCAGGGTTCTTGCGATAGAAGAAAGCTGCTGGCAGCACCTGCAGTAACTGGGTTCATCTTCATTCATCGTGAGGCCGAGCCAGATGCTGTGTAGTTTGTACATGTTGCAAAAAGTAGAAAAGCAGGACCATGGTTATTTGTCGTGCTGCAAACGCGCGCTTTGAGTGCAGTTCCCTCAATAATTGTCATGCTTTTTTTCGTTCTTATCTTTCCTCTCGTGCTGAAGAGAATACAAAACAGAAATAGATTTTTCGTACCTCGTTCTCGTAAGGCTGTATTCGCGCCGCACCAGCATGCCGTCGTACTCCTGTCGTGTGGATCAATAATTTCAACAATACCCGCTGAAGCTGAACACATCCTTCGTCCGTTTCTCTCGTGAAGGTGATGTATTCTAGTCCGAAGTCGTGCAACGGTTGCGGTTGTGGTAGTTATAGTTTTTAGCAAGACAGCACTTGATCTTGTTTTCATCTCCCAGCAGGACCAGGAAGTGGCTTTGTAAAACCCGCTTGATTTTTTCCTTGTTTTCGTTTCTTTTGCCGCATTTATTTTGCGACTTTACATTCACTAAACGTAAACGTGACAAAACGTCGTCACTTTTGCAGAATCTTCTGTTGCTCCGCGTATTACATGCTTTTTGTACCTGCTGCTCCTGCTCCTGCTAGCGCAAAAGGAAAACGAAAAACATTCAGCATGTCCTTAGCCACCTTGTCGCCGCGTTTCTCGTTCTCGCGCGAACGCTTCTTTCGCCGCGGCGCTAGTTCTTGCAGTTCATTGTCACAAAAATGGCTGGCTTCTTCGGGTCTACTTCTACTTGTGGTTCATCACGACAAGACCGGGCAGCTGCTAGGAGTGCAAGAAGCTTTGGCGGTCTCGTTCATGTCCAAGATGAAGATGAAGCTGCAGCAGAACAAAAAGAAAACCTCAACATTTGCATCGAAGATCATGAAGGAGCGGCTTCCTGCTCGGGGCCTCCCAAGAAGTGGAAGAACGGGAGCACAGGAGCTACACACAACAGGTGGGAGCCACGATCATGAGGCCTTCTTCTACAACAAGACTAGCTCAACATCGGTGGAACAAGATGAACAAAGCTTCTTTTTGCAAAAGCACGAGGCTACCTTGAGCGGCGCGACTTGTTCGCTTTCGCGTGCGGAGCGTGGAAGGAACGGTATCACACAGAAAAGTACACCGAACCGAGTGCACCAGAGTCAGAAAATAAAAAAATTCAGAATCTGTTGTTGTTATGCTGCTACTTTACATAAATTGGCGCCATTCCAAAACTCTAAAAACAAGAACTCAAACTCTGTAGATACACAGAGTACTAGCGAGGCATTTTATTTTTTGGTGTGCAAAAGAAAAAAAAATACAATTTTTACTGCGCGAAGGCTAGGAAAAGGGTGTTAGAATGAAAGTAAAAGTATCATCTCACGACGTCGGACGGCCAACAGGCACTTTTTTTTCCCGCAAACAGAACGGCATGACATGATAGTTCTTCTCGAGATACCCTGGTGAAAAGTACCAATGGGTTCTTTACTTTTCTGTACAATAAACGGAGGGCCTGGGGGCTACGGATACTGCCGCAACGCCAGCAGTGGCATGGTCAAGAGCGATTGCAAGCTTTGCATGAGATGTAGCGGTCGCAGTTGGCTGAAATACATCGATACAGCCACCGGAAGTGCGACGTCTTGGCAGCTGGATACGATGCCGCGGAGTTGGAGGGAGTTGGAGTTCAACACGGGAACAGGGGAGCTGTTGAAGGGGGGCTGTGATATTCCAAGCGGGACGTTGGGAAAGATGAACCACAAGGCATGCCTGGAGAAAAATCTCGACAAATTGTACGAAGACCACGCTTGGAACGAGCAGGATCTAGACATCGACACTCCTCGTCTCGTTAATTTGAAGGTGAACGGCGATGTCTGGAGGCATTACACGGCAGAGGAGAATGTTAGATGCGAGGCACGGATGGCGATGAAGAAATCCGGAGCCTCGGGCTCCGTAGAAGTATGCATTGCAAATATGATGTCTGGGTCTGGAAACTTGTAATGCTGCGTTGGGAATAGTGAAAAATGCCCTGTAATGCACAGCCAAGCATGAAAAATATCTGCGCTTCTTTGCGTTGCGTTTTTCTTTTTCGCATGACAAACTGCGTTTTTGCATGACAAGCAAAAGGGTCTGCTCTTCTCGGACACGCGTCACAAACTTTTTAGTCATGCCAGACAAGCATGACAGACCTTGCATCCTTCTAGACCCAGACATATTTGCACTTGATAAGAACAGCGCTTCGACAACGGCGGCTGGGAGACAGCTCCGAGTGGCAGTGTCGACTGGAATATGACAGTGCACAACTCCCCCTCCCCCTCCCTTGTCATGCAAATTTCCCGAATCCAGGCTGTGCCTCTTGTCACTGTTTGCATGACAAGTTCTGGTAGCCCAAATAGCACTACACTCCAGTTTAAATCTGTCATGCAAAGCCCGCATTTTTGCGAATGCTCGCATTGCCGTTTATGCTTATACAAATGAGGGGGAGGCGGGGGAGTTGTGCACTGTCATATGGAAGACACAGATGGCCCCCGTGGGGTGGCACAAGGTGGAACAGTGGAAAGAGATAGGCGATGAACTCGAGGAGGCCGCGCAGCGACTGGGCGACAATTTCTTTGTGGTCAGTTTGTCCGCCTTTGCTCCCTCCTGCGGTAGCGAGAAGTACTGCGGGGATTCAGACCACACATGGGATAACGATGAAAACGATTTTGCGGCTCATCGCAACAACTGTGAGTGCAAGGCGTGTACGCGGTGCAAACTATAGTGTGTCTAGGTGTGGAAAAAATAAAACGGGCCTTGTGCTTCTTGTATCTTTAAAATATAAATATATAAAATTGCTTGTATAGCATTGGTGCTGCTGGCAAGTCTGCATTGCATAACCGACAGGGGCGGCGGCGCTTCCTTCGTCATCCAAAAGCGAAAGCGCAGACGTTGGTCGAGCTGTTTATGCAAATTGATAATTGGCACTACTCGTACTACCTATCAAGAGAGAAACTTGTCATGCTTTGTTGCATCATGTGAGTATGTCTGACCCATCCACTATTTGTCCGCATCGCAGGTGTGATATTCCAGACCCAGACACATTTGCATTTGATAGCGTGCTGCGAGAAGGTGGAGAGGGATGGCAGCTGGTTGGCCACGGTCGACAAATGGCGTTGCGGGGAGAGTGGGTTTTACTCGATCGACGACTATGCGAGGGAACAAATCAACAGCAAGATCCAACGCGCGAGCATCGAGTTATGGCACTCTCAAACGTTACACTGTCTATTGTCCTCTTATGATATTGACTTGTCCTGCAAAATGAAAATTGTCAGCAGCCTCGACAAGATTTTGAAGATCAAATAAAGCTACTTCGCGTGACAAATAATTTTGGAAGGGCTAAGAGGCATTGCAATCTGTGCCGAATTTGTATGTAATACGACTTCGACTTGCGCGGCAGGGCAATAAAGCGCCCTTCCTTTGTTCAACACTTTTGCTACTGTTGCATCTTCTTCACAAATTCGTGTAAAGAACAGCGACCAATGTAAACGTTTGTTGAAAACTTGATATGAAGGGGTAGAGCCCCCGTCAACTACATCCTCACCTACATCCTCAACTACATCCTCACCTTCGCCTTCATCTCGCGCTGTCACAGAAACGCCTTCCACCACGCCGGCACCGCCTGCGGTTTATGCAATACAAATTTCCCGTAGCCGTACATGTACAAGGTGCATTACAAATTTCACCAATTTATTGGAGTGTAACATCACTTGTAATGCTAAAATAGGACCACGGCTAAGTTTTGTCATGCAGAGACCGGATTTGTACGTGTTGTACGGGAATAAATTTCCTGTGGATATAGTCACGCCCGAGTCCACCACTACTTCGCTGCCGAGGACAGGTGAAATAAAGTCCGACGAATCCTTATCTTGTGCAAAAGTATCGTACTCGTACAAATTGCTTTTATGCCTTACAAAGAAATATTTTTGTTAATAAGGCAAAAGCGCATTACAAAGGCCTAGGCCTAGGCTATGCTACCCAATGGGCAGCTAGGGTGTCTGAAATTAGCTTATACTTTTTACACGCGCCGCGGGCTAGGGTGGGTCATTAACAAAACGTGAGGAAAACCGGGCCTATCATTTCGCGCCTGCGCGGTAAAGGTTTAAGTACATAAAAGTGCATCAGACAACCAAACCTTCAAACAGGCCCCGCGGCAGAATCCGTTTTCCCCTTAAATAAATGAAATTCTGTACAATCGCCTGGCGAGACGCAAAAGTAGATGAACCGACTCTCAATAAATAGCTGCCCCGTGGCGCTTCTTGAGTTTGTTTAGTGTGGCCGTAGTCCAAAAATCATTTGTTTTTTCTAAGCACAGCTGATGACAGCGCTCGTGGTCGTGCATAGAGTTTTTCACTTTTGGGTTACGGCCTCTCTGAGGAGGTCTGTCGACGTTGCTCCACTCAGGAGCAGGCTGTTCTTTTCTGTCACTGACAGGCGGTTCTGCGACCGCAAGTCTCGGCAATTCCCGAGCTCTTGTTTCTGGTGCGAACTTCGTACGGAATTCTCTTGGTGGGTTCATCTAGTGGTGCGCTGCGCGTTTCTTAACATTTTTTGAGGCCGTACGATTAATGGGCCCCCTTTTCGATACCGAAAAGGGGGGGGTAGGTACGGTCGGTCGTCTGGCCGTATCCAAAAGCGACCACTTCCCTCGGGACCCGACCAGTTTTCGAATTTCAAAAATCAAAATGTCAGCCCATGACCCCCCCCCGCCCCGAAGTAGTTTTCTGCTTTGTTGACCACTAGTTGCGGCGCGGCTTTATCAGCGTATAGCCCCTCTATTGCGGTTTCTGGGGTGTGGTTAGCAGAGGAACAAGCACACAACGCAATTTTTTTTTGGGGCGCGCGCTGCGCGCGCGCGCGTCGCGATATGCATACAAAAGTAAAGAAACTTCGGCGCGCGCGCTAAATAAATACACGCGCCACGCAGCGGAACGCATGGCGCATACGTGGTTACAATCCGCCGGCGCGGTGCAGCAAACCATGATCATCTGCAGGACAGATGAAGATCGAGCCCGGTTTATTATCGTCGTCGGCTCTGCCTCTCCGCCTGCACTGGGGCCGAGCATGGTGCGCGAGGTTTGTTGGCCCTTCTTCCGCCTTCAAGCTGAATAAGAAGCAAAGGGGCTTGCGACTTGGAATAAAGTATGCCGGAAAAGGAAAGAGCGCTTTGCCGCGACAACAACCATCGCCATTACCCATCCTGCGCGGGGTAGTGTGCAGAGGGTTAAAAAGTGGGCTAACTACAAAAAAAAACGCCTTCGGCTTCGCAGTAATTTGTAGCGCAGCACTGCGCTACAAGCACCCGGCGCGCCAAAGTGGTTGATGTGGGCATCTCAATTACTGAGATACCCGCTTCAACAGCCCGAGAGCAGTCTTGGTCGCGCAGTTCTGCATTAGAAGTTGCGCCATGATCTACCGCGCCGCAAGTCTGTTTGTGCAGGAGAGTGACTTCTCAGTCGATCTACAAGCTTCCCCCTGAAGTACTGCGAAGCACCTCTTCTGCTTAAAACATGCTCAGTCACTCAAAATCAAATAAAAGCAAAACAGTTCTGCATGCTTTTACTTGAATGAGCTGCCGAGCTCCTACGATCTACTTACAAACTGCGCCCAAGCTACTGCTCTTTTTTTCGAGCAGTGGATCGGCGGCATACAACCAAGCGGGATTGCAGTCAAGAAGTTGTAGATAATTCATTGCGAGGCAGCTGCGCTGCTGCTCCGTGAAAGGTAGCCGTCTCCCTTTTGGGGAAAGAATGGCCCTCGGCTTCATTTTGAGAAACAGAAAGCACGTCTGCTTCGATTGATTTACTTCCCTTTTGGCGACGGAATTCTCTTGGTGGGTTCATCTAGTGGTGCGCTGCGCGTTTCTTAACATTTTTTTTCTTTCCTCGTTTCCATTTCTTGTCCTGTCGGTGTGCTTCGCTCGATCTCTAATCGGTTTTCGTCATCTCCCATGAGAAGAGCGACCTCTGTCGATCGTCTTCGTCTCGCCTTTTTTCTCGCTTTTTTCTCGACTGTTTTAGTTAGTTAGGCGAGCTTTCTTGCGCATACGTACGTAGATCTCCTAGTGCCTTGGTACTTCGAGGTTTAGGGTCGGAACGTTCTCAGCACTGCTGAAGCTTAAGAAGAAAGGGGCGTGCACGCTCCGGCCTTCAGTTTGCTCCGCCTTTATCTTTTTGAAATCGCTTTACTATAATCCTCCTTTTTGCTTGCTTCCTGTTCCCCGGGCCCAACTGGCACCAAGCAGGTTTTTTCTCTCCTAGGGTTAGGCTTAGTTAGGCCGCCACCGCCGCCGGCACGGGATGGCTGCCGACGCGACCGTCTCACCTTCGATCCAGCCACCACCCTCATCTGCTGCTCAAGATCGATCCAGAAAGGGTTTAGTTTAGGTTTCAGGGTTTAGGAAGCAATCTTAACATTTTTTTTCTTTCTCTCTTTCTTTCTTTTGTACTTCTGGGTCTGCGTCCCCTCGTACCAACGGGCCTCTCTTCCTCCGTCAGCGGGGTTGTCAGGTTTTTGCGGTCTGGCGACCTACGTTCGCTAGTTCGGGCCGTTGTTGTCTCCGACGGTTTCGAGTTATAAAAGTTATGGTTTGTGTGACAAGGAGGCAACACGGGCCTAGCGAAGCGGCCCGGGTAGCCAAGGCAGGAACACAAAGCGGATTTTTATAAAGAGATACCTCTCTACCATCCGGTCGAATATTGTTGTGGTCCCGGGCGGAAGACCTTAAACTCGACCCAAAGAAAGTAATGCCCTGCGGTTCAAGTTTCAATAAAATTTTTTTCCTTCCCTTCCCTCCCTTTTATTTCTCGTTACTGTTGTCGAGACAAAGCCCTTATCCCGCGGGGTAAGGGAGTGGGTTGTCAGGTTTTTGCGGTCTGGCGACCTACGTTCGCTAGTTCGGCCCGTTGTTGTCTCCGACGGTTTCGAGTTATAAAAGTTATGGTTTGTGTGACAAGGAGGCAACACGGGCCTAGCGAAGCGGCCCGGGTAGCCAAGGCAGGAACAAAAAGCGGATTTTTATAAAGAGATACCTCTCTACCATCCGGTCGAATATTGTTGTGGTCCCGGGAAGACCTTAAACTCGACCCAAAGAAAGTAATGCCCTGCGGTTCAAGTTTCAATAAAATTTTTTTCCTTCCCTTCCCTCCCTTTTATTTCTCGTTACTGTTGTCGAGACAAAGCCCTTATCCCGCGGGGTAAGGGAGTGGGTTGTCAGGTTTTTGCGGTCTGGCGACCTACGTTCGCTAGTTCGGCCCGTTGTTGTCTCCGACGGTTTCGAGTTATAAAAACGTGAGGAAAACCGGGCCTATCATTTCGCGCCCCACCCTAGAGGGTATTTCCACCCTAGTGCCCTGCGGCTCGCACTAGCGTGGTGCACCGAACTAGCCTGGGTCTAGACCACGGCCAGGCTAGGTTTCTGCATGCATATTTGCAATAATTACTACGAGTGCGATACTTTTGGTTTTGCGCAGGATAATCAATTGACGGAGACTACAACCAGGATGGTGATGGTACCCGTATCCAAGTGATGAAAACATCAAGTGTTAATATTTGCTCCGCCACAGAAGATGAAAGTAGTACGGAGTTTTATTTCGATACAAGAAGAAGATGAAGAAGTACTCACAGCGCAGTACGCGCACGCCGGGGGTAGGAATTTGCTGCTCTAGTATTTTTGCGTGGCAGCATGGTGTTTCCACGCATATTCGAGATGATTTTCGATTTCGTCCTTTGATGGACATTATAGTGAGCACGAAACTGGTGATAAAAAAAATTGCATATAGCCTAAGAACCATGTAAAGAGATGAACGCATAATTCGCTGTGGGATGGGCAGACGGACGGGGACACTTGATTTTCTTGTTTTCATAACCCTTTCTCCGGCGATGCGGGTGGTGTATCCTGGGCAAAAGTATCGTACTCGTAGTAATCGCAGTGATGCATTACAAATCTCGTTCATAAGGCAAATCAGCATCACAAATCCCATTTGTTATGAGGAGCGAATTTGTATTGCAATTACTACTAGTACGATACGTTTGCAGTTCATATGAAGCAGGCGCGGGCGATACTCCTCGGAACTTCGGCTGATGCGGGTGAAGTTGCCACCCAACGGGTTGGTGTGTGCTGCTGAGGTCGCGTTTGTGATTCTTCAAATTATTTAAGAATTTGTATACGAGGGTAGTTCTAGTTACAGCCTTTATGCTATACGCGTTTCTCGATCGTGAGAAGGCAGTAAAGGGACTTATTTCCAGCCACAATGCTATGCTGAAAAAGAAAACTTCACAATGCTATGCTGACCGAAAACGTTTCTGAAGTTTCTGGAGTTAATTACAATAGCCGATAGAAGTTGCAACCGCGATACAAGCTGTCCAAGTCCAACGCAGCTGCAACGAGGAGGTGCAGGGTTCTTGCGATAGAAAGCTGCTGGCAGCGCCGCCTCGTCCGACTTACATGGTGATTTAGTGATCATTCCTACTGTAAGCTGCAGCTCATCTTCTACCCTCGAGTTGTGTGAAGTAGATCAGGCGAAATTAATAGTGTGATCTCCAAGAAGCAAGTAAAAATGTTGGATAAAATCGATGCTGGTCTAGACACAACGACCCCAAGGCAAAAATCAGGCTAATCCCCTTGCTCCGCACGACAAATTCACCAGATTCCGCATTACAAACTCACCAGATTCTATGTTTTTGGATCCATTGCGACGGTTCGAAATAAAAAGCGCCGCTGTCGTCGGTCGTTCTGAGGATCATCTGAGCGCTCTGTGACAGCGCTCGATGTCGATGAGGAAATGTTGCATGTTGATGCATTTTTAGTCGTGCCATTTCTTGTGTCTGATCATCAATTTCAGAGTCAGGTATTTTCGATCTTCTGTACCTTCGAGTTCGAACACCAGTTGAAGTTCTTTTTGGCGAGTTTATCATCCGTTTTTGAGATTTCAATTTATCCACAAGTAGTTATTGTATTATTTGAGGTTTTTAACACGCACGACGACGACACACAGCTACGATTTTCTTTGTTTTGCAATCGAGGATATTTTTCGAAACCGCTCTCACTAACCAGCGTGATCAGGTGGAATAGTATAGTGCTTCTGAGTTCTTCTTCTTCTTCTTGAGTCAAGCAGAGACGAGTTTTAAATAAATCAAAAAGAAAATCTAAATCATGCCTCAGAAGTCCCTCATCATGAAGAAAATGTCAATCGATGCGTTTTCTTGCGTGAAGACGTGGTCCTCGTTTTCTTGCGTGAAGACGAGCGTTCGCGCAGTCCACCTTGCCAGTACTAGGGGGCCGCAGCAGCAGATAGTGTTTTCATCATGCACATTTTAGCATCACAAATTTTTCAGACCCAGACATTTTTGCACTTGATATGAGAACACCTGGGACGAGCATGAGGAGCAGGACCATTACGCTAATTGCGAGTGCGACGCGTGTATCAAATGCAAAAATGTCTGGGTCGTCTGGAAGAATGCGAGTTTGCCATGCTTGTTTGGCATGACTCGAGAATCTGTGTTGCATAGGCACGAAAAGGCCCTCACCCTCTTACGTGTCATGCAAAAACGCAGTTTGCCATGCGGAGTACGTAAGAAAGGGCAGCCACAAAATTTGTCATGCATAGCTGCGTATTGCAGTGCGTCTACCATTCATTTTAAGCATTACAAGTTTGCAGACCCAGACCTATTTTTTGCACTCGATAGCGTGCTGCGCGAGGAAGAAAAGGGGCATGTCCGCGTTTACCTTCCGCGATAAGTGGCGCTGCGACTATCCGGAGTAAAATAAACGTCCCCACCCCAGAGTTGTCTTGCAGAATTGCAATGACAAGGAAATTTGTGGTGCGCATACCCATGGTAGACATCTCCGATCGTGTTTTGGAATTTGTGATGCTGTGAACAGGAAAGGCAGATGAATCTGTGAAGATTCGGCTGCACTTGCTAACCTGCACTACTACACTGCGGAGTGCAACTTGTCATGCGTGACTCCCAAAACTCCTAGGCTTGTGCTGCAAAATAATCCCCATCCTGACTCTGGTGTGGGGACGTTTTTACTCAGGATAGCGACGAGATGGGGTTCTACTCGCTCGACGCCTATGCTGGCTGGATTTCCCCTGGTATCGAACGCACGTCCACATTTCCTCCTACCACCGGCGCAACCCCGAGGTCGACATCAGCACAGTCACCGGAAACGCCGGCGCCCGGAGATCCGAAAATAGCCGAGCAGGCACCGGAGACGTCCCCGCCCGGAGGAGGCCCGACAACAACCAAAGCTGCACCGGAGACGCCCCCGCCCGGAAGAGGCCCGACAACAACCAGGGCACCGGTGAGTGAAAATTATACCGGTGACAATGTCGACGCAACTACCGGGAACCAGCGGCAAGCACGCATATGACAAAGAATAAAAGAAATACTCTAGCACCACCAGCCTTGATGCAGAGCCTATGCCTAAGTAAAAAGCAGGTGCAGGCTTGTGGCCCCAGAACCTAAGCCAAGCCACAGGTTTTGGCATCGTGCTAGAGAACATCATCTGGTCAACATTTTTAGACGTCCGAGAGGAAGCAAAGAACATCAAGCTGTTGCATTTCGATGTTTGCGCTCTTGCCTTGTTACAACTGCCATAGAAAATAAATCTGCTGGCGTGTGCTGTAAAAGTCTATTGAAGATGTTGAGTAAAAAATTAAAAGAAAAATATACTACGTTTACAAAGATGCGAAGATAATAAATTTTTACCTTCAAGAACTACAAGTGGTGCTAGAGTCATTTGCTTGCATAAGCAGGAAGAGATGAATGGGACGACCGCCCGGCCCTGCGCAATGAACATCATGATGGCCGCAGCACTCCAAATATCCACAGTAAATTTCCCGTACACGTACAAATGCGGTCTCTGCATGACAAAACTTGGCTTCGATTCTAGCTTAACATGACAAGTTTTACGCTCCTAATTGGCGAAATTTGTGACGCGCCTTGTACATGTACGGGAAATTTGTATTGCATACCAAACCAGGAAGGCGTTGCTGGCGTTGTCAGCACCCCGGGCGAAATACCTCTTGACACCCCCCAGCACTCGGAGCTGCCCGATGAAGCCAAGTGCTGCGCAGGGGCAGATCATGAACGCGTGTTGGTGTTGTCCGGAACAAGAAGGCCGTGACAGCGTTTTAATACCTATCCTGTGCAAAAGTATCGTACTCGTATTGCAATCATGCATTACAGGGCAAATCCCCATTACAAATTTTATTTCTGACGCTGAGGAAATTTGTAATGCATTTATACGAGTGCGATACTTTTGGTTTTGCAGCTCATAATGCCATGCACTTAGCTATCATGATGATGATCACGAACAATGCCACTTCTGTACTACCTGTACTAGATTTAAACAAAATCTATAGCGTCTAGACCCTTCTCCTTCTCGTCTGCACCAGTGTAATTTTTCGTATCATTTTCCTTTTCATTTCACCCCAGCCCCACGGAACAGCTCCGTCCGACAACATTCCAGAACTTCCGTATATTAGATGTGCATCGTTTATACAAATTTTTTTCTTTAGAAGATTCTTTTTTTCGTCATTCACATTCAAATTTTTACATTCGACCCTTATCTTCCTATGTGTCGCACCATGATTAAATGTTGCCACTGAAGACTTTCTTACTCGTTATTGTCTTTCTGCAAACAACCATGAAGGAAGTAGTGCGTACATGTAGACCTCCAACTTCTAGTAGCCTGATTTCAATACCAGCTCCCCCGTCCTCGTGCTTTCCCCCTGCTTCCCCCATCAAGACAGAGACCTGAAATAAACGTGCGAACCCCGACAAGAAATAGCAGTTGTGACTTAGGGCCTGAGAAGATCACAGTTCCTAGTAAGCCTGCTACTTGACCGCAACAAGATGCGACGTTCTGAATGTACCAGTATAATATGATCCGATCTGTGCGGTAGTGGTCCTCCTGGACAAGCAGAGCTACGATTTGTCGTGCTAGTTGTATTATGATTATCATTTTGTGGTATTCTCAATATCAATTCTCGTGCTATATTTCGTTCTTTTCTGTCGTGCTGATGCTGAAGAGAAAATAAAATCGTGCTGGATTCGTACTTTTCGAAGTTGTAATATTTGCGGCGGCGCCGCACCGGCGTGCGGTCATACTTGTTGTACTCCTGTCGTGCGGACCAATTTCAACAAGACCCACAAGAAATGTCTTCCGTTTCTCGTTTCTCCGTTTCTCTCGTGTTGGTGCGTTGTAACGCTTAGTAAAAGTTGTAGTTAAATTTAGCACGACGCGACTTCGTCTTGTTTTCATCTCCTTCTCCAGGAAGTGGTTTTGTACACGAACCCGTACCTTGATTCCCGTGTTTTTGTTTCATCTTTTGCCTCATTCATTTTTCGCGAATTTTGATTTTCATTCACTAGACGTCACAAAAGGAAACGTCGGCAGCTTTGTAAGTACAACCGAACCTATTCTTGTTGCTCCGTGTAAGTATTCATATGATTTTTGTACCTGCAGCTCCCGCTAGTCCTTGTGCAAAAGCAAAAGGAAAAACGACCAGCATGATGTTCTCGTCCTCCACAACCGCCTTCCTTCGGCGTGAACAAGGCCCGTCCTCGCGCGGACGCTTCTGTCGCCGCGGCAGTTGCAGTTCATTGCCACAGTGGCTGGCTGCAGCTGGGGGTCTAGTTGCGATTTTTCTCGACAAGAGCGGGCTTCCAGGAGTGCAGGACGCCGTTGCGTTGTCGTTCATGACAAAGATGAAGATGAAACTGCACCAGCAGAGGAAGAAGTCCTCTGTTTCGGAGATGGAGCAGCTTCCTCGACGGAGGAGTCCAACAGGTACTGTAACATCAACTCCGGTCATGAACGAACAAGGGGACAAAAAGAGTCGGTCTCCACCTGGAAGGAGCGGCTTTCTGGAACATCAAAGGCAGGGGCGCAGCACGAGAATAAAAAAAATGAAAGCGAAGTGTCATGGAAAGGAGCTGTTTGAGTACGTCGCGGCTGGAGGACCGCGTAACTACGATTACAGGCACGACGGCCATGGCATGGTAAAAAACGAGTGCAAACTTTGTCTCAAGTGCAGTGGTCGCAGCTGGCTGAAATACATCGATACCGCCACCGGACAGGCGACATCGTGGCAAATGAAGAACACGCCGCGCAACTGGAGGTGGGAGAAATACAGTTACTGTGCAAACGGGGAAAACCACGGAGGGTGCCTCGAGAGCAATCTTGACGAGCTCTACAAAAATGGGTGGAACGAGGGGCATCTCACGTTCTTTGGAGATGCGCCGGACTACGACCGGAGCCCCAACATTGTTGACAAAGACGGGCTCCACCACCTGGAGGGCAGATGCGAGGCGCGGACTGCGATGAAAAAAAGGGGACTTTCGGGTCCCTTACAGCAGCGCTTTGACAGCCATGCGTGGGCCACAGCTCCGAGCGGGGAGGGCATTGACTGGAAAACCAGAATGGCCCCCGTGGGGTGGCACAAGACTGCGGCCTGGGAGAACATCAGCAATGAACTGGAAGAGGCCGCGCAACGGCTGGGGGACAATTTCCTCGTTGTCAGCTTGTCAGCATTCGCTCCCTCCTGCGGTTCCCGTTTGTACTGCCGCGGCACCTCCGCCGGCTACACCTGGGATGATCACAGTGCCGCGGCCCGTTACTCCATTTGCGAGTGCGAGGCGTGCTGCGGGAGGACTGAGAGGGAAATGTCCTTGTTTAGCTTCCGCGATATGTGGCGTTGCGCCGAGATTGGGTTTTTCTCCCTCGACGTTTATGCCGGCAAGATTTCCCCTGATATCGAACGCACGTCCACATTCCCTTCTACCACCGCACCCCCGGAGACGCCGGCGCCCGACAAACCGAAAACCGCACCCCCGGAGACGCCGGCGCCCGAAAAACCGAAAACCGAGGCACCGAAGACGCCGGCGCCCGAAAAACCGAAAACCGAGTCACCGGAAACGCCGGCGCCTGCAAAACCGAAAACCGAGGCACCGGTGAGTGAAAATGCTGGTGACAATCATGTCGACGCCAACGGGAACCAGCGAGAGCAGCTGCTGCAGCCTGCACGCATATGACAAAGAATACGCAATACTCTAGCAGCCTGCTGAAAGCAAAGCCTAAATAGCGAACAGGTTATTTGATGTGGCTCCATATAAGCCAAGCTACAGCTTTTGGCGTACCAGAGAACATTTGGTCATCAACATCTGACGGACTAGAGGGACGAGCAAAGAACATCAAGCTGTTGCATTTCGATTTTTGCGTTGCGTTGTGACAACTACAACAGAAGATAAATTTGCTGTCGACGACGTGTGTAAAAATGTTGGTCATGGAAATCGATCCCGCACACACGTAACACGATCGCCCCAAATGACGCCTGTTCCCAATGAAATGACAGTTCTGAGTGACCTGAACTAGCTAGATCCTTAGGGAAATGGTCAGAATCTATCTAGATCCTAAAGGAATCTCTTCACCATGTTCCGCGAATCCCCCAAATACTACGAAGGCAAAGCCATCAGGATCGTAGTGAAATGAATGGACTCAGCTCGGTCCAGACGTTCAGAATGGTCGCCCTGGGGGACTTGACTCCCGCCAGGGTCGAGCACCAATCTGAGCAGGTTGAGGGATGGACTCCCATGCTGTTTTGCCACTTGACTCCGGACCCGATTGGTCCATATGAATCTGATGAATTTGGATGAATTGAACCTACAGGATGTAACGCAGCAAGAGACTTGCGTCACTTGCTTGCTTACTTGCAATTGAGAGAATTCATCGAATTGCTGTTGATAACGAGCTCAGAGGAGCAAGCGTGTGTAAGTGTGTGCGAGTGTTCTCAAGTCCATTAACAAAAACTCTATTGATGTTGAGGAAAAATAAATAGGAAAATTTTCCATACAAAGACGCAGAGATTACGTGCAACAGGAACAAGTGGTGCTAGAGCGATTTGCTTGCATAACGTGGACGACCAAGTAGAGATCAACGGGACCGGTCTGCCCTGAGCAATGAAGATGATGGCAGCACTCCTCCACAACAGGAAAACGGTGGGGGTGGTGGCGTCCCGCACGAAAAGCCTCTACTTGACACCCCCCTCGACTCGGAGCCGTCCGAAGCCAAGTGCTGCCCTTGAGAAGAGCATGATGAACGCGTGTTGGTGTGGTCCTGAAGAGGGCCGTGAGGACGTTTTAATACCATGTACGTAGCTACTTATCATGATCACGAACAAAAATGCCACCTCTGTACTACCTGTAGTGAACAAAATCAAAATCTAGAGCAGCTAGATCGTGCCTGTCCGCACCAGTATATTTTTTTTGTATCCTTTTCATTTCACAATCACATTCACCCCACGGAACAGCTCCGTCCGACAACATTCCAGAACTATCGTCTAGATGTGCATCGTTTGTACAGATTTTTTTCTTTATTTTAGATCGAACGACATAGACATCTTTATTTTAGATCGATCGGATCCTTTTTTTTCGTCACTCACATTCAAATTCTAATTCTCAACAATCGACTCTCAATAGTTTTAGTTGCCTATGTAAGAACACTACAACTGTGCTCCTTATGTGGAGCGTTTCACCCTGCAGACTGACATTAAACTGAGCTTTGCCGTCTGTTAGAACACGAAATACACCATGTAGGTCGGCGGGTGTGTCGACGACCTACGGTACCAGTATCCACGTAACTGTTTGAGCATGGGGAAACGCACAGCATCATCATCGTCATTCGTCATCTCTCAGTTGCTCTACCTCTCGGAACATCGGGATTCCGCTCATGGAAGTGAAGGACGAGGACCTGATTTCATGATCGTGGGTTTCGAGTGGGATTTGGATCAGTACATGGTCGCCATGATCGCCATTAGTTACATGGTGATTTAGTGATCATTCCTACTGTAAGCTGCAGCTCATCTACCCTCAAGTATGAAGTAGATCAGGCGACATTAAGTAATAGTGTGATCCCAGTAAGCAAGTAAAAATGTTGGATAAAAATGTTGGATAAAATCAGACCCGGTGGCAGGTCTTTTTCAAAAAGTGGTTTGCACGCAAGCTACGGGGCCCGTTGTCCGAAGCAAGCCGGCGCTTATTTCGTTCCGGTGCTTCTTCGGTGCGCGAGGCGCGGTCACTGAAAGCGTTCTTCTCAGAGGATCTTCTCGCCACCTCGAGCAAGTTGTGCATTGCAAAAGTATCGTAGTACAACTCGTAGAAATGCATTACAAATTTCCTCAGGATGAGAGATAAAATTTGTAATGCAGATTTGCATTGGAAACAAGATCTGTAATGCAAGACTTGCATTTGTACGAGTACGATACTTTTGCACAGGATACGAGTGCACCACGCAAGACACCTTTCTCGAGAAGTACACTTTTGGCACCGATCAGAAGCAGTTCGCTTCCGCCTTTCTCGACACGTTCGAACGGGCTCTCGCGCGGCCGAATGCCGCATATCACAATGAAAAACGCCCCCACCCCCGCACTTGGGAGCATTTGTATTGCAAACCTTTCCAACAGAAACACTCGCCCTCTTGCATCTAGCAGCATCACAGATTTCCAGTCGTGAATTATAGCGAAGATTTGTATTGCAACAGATCCCAGCAAGAGCGGCGCTCGTCATGCGAGCAATGCTATATACGCCTAGACTCTGCATCACAAAGATAAAGATTCATTATTCCTTTCATGCATGACAAAAAGTTTTCATTTGGAAACGTCGCATCGCAAATTATTGCAACTTTCGGAGTGGGGGCATTTTTCACGGCAATGCCGCAAGCTACAGATTCGGCGGCTCGGGGGAGCACAGCATCAAATTTGGGCCGCAAAAGCCGGCTGAGTGGGTATGGTGGGGGCGAGAGGCATGTATGAGTTTTGCGATGTATTGGCGGAAAAACATCGCAAAAAATACATCGCACATCGCACATCGTACATAGCCGCTCTGAGGATTACGGCCGTGGAAGTGCGTCCTGAAAGTATAATCCAACCGGAGCTGCTTTTGCGCGCCGCAGAGACAGGCGAACAGAAGGTGCAGGACCTGGAATTCCAGTTGTGCACAGCCACAGGAGGTAGCAGCTTATCTTCCAGCTGGTGTGAGTTGTTGGAAAAGAATGGCGACTATGATGAAGAATGGCCAGCCGTTCTTCGCCTCGAAGTGACGCGAAGCAGCAGTAACTACGATCTGGACGGTCCCACGCGGTACGACCTCGCGCTCATTCTTGAGCTTGTATTGATAGAATACACATATATATAATTCACTACTTAGGGATTCTATATAATTCACTACTTAGTAGTGAAAGTGATAGTGAAGGGACTGATAGTGAAGGGAGTAATAGTGAAGGGACTGATAGTACTTAAAGTAGTTAGATAAAAGTGCGTGGTAAGTGATAGCGAAGGGACTTGTTTCTTTATGCAAGACAGCCAGATGAAGAAATTGAAATTGGTCTTCTACTTCTTCTTTACCTCGGCCCGAGCGACGCCGGGGCGGGGGCGGGTATTACAAAGGACCGGCCCTCGTACGCGTGTAACCCTTGGGCCGGCCCTGTAGTTGCTGCGCTACGCTAAGTACATACTTATCGTAGCCATTTAATACTTTTACCTCAAGGTCGTGAAGGGGCCAGTTGCTCTTTCAGCTTGGGGCAAGAATCGAAAGCCAACTTTTTTCTGCTCGGCGCAGCGCTCCAACTATCAACTTACTTTGCAAAACAACTGTGACAGCAGCTTCAGGCCCAATTACTCAGGTTGACATGTAGAGAGGATTGGCAGTCATCGATTTATTACATCTATACGCGGACCTTTAAGGAGATTGTGTATATGATTCTTAATGGTTGAGCACGAACTGCCTCTCCACGCAAGACAGATTCACTGGCTCCGCTCCTGTCTTTTTGAAAAATGTATGATGTTTGTTTTGGTCTACTTTTCTGCTCCTGTTTTTTTGAAAAATGTATGATGTTTGTTTTGGGAATAAGGGTCTGCTTTTTATCGTTTTACTAAATTTGTCATGCAAATTTGCCATTCGGCAACAAATTGCCGCTCTCGAAAAAAGCATGCTCCTACATCGGTGCTACATCCTGTATGATTTTCAATGGTTTATTTTCCTGGATCTTCGTGTATGATTTTCAAATGGTGATTAGCGCGGCGTCAATCGCCATCGCATTTACCAACTATTCTCTTCATCGAGCATGACATATTCGCACTGTATACTTTTTGCTTTTCCAGCCAAATTGTCAAGGTATCGAATCGCCAAGATAGCATTACGAAGTCGTATCTTGCACTAGACCATAGGGGTTATTCTTATTAGAAGGAAAAATCGCATTACATCGTGGGGCAAAGTCGTTTTTAGCCTCACAAATTTGGGGACGGTTTTAAGGAAACGAAATGCACTAACATCGGGAAAGGAGATAAAGCATTGCGAAACCGCACCTAACTGCGGTCTAGTTGGTTTACTTGGGATAATATTCATCGCGTTCTAACCTCACCACTTCGAAACTAGGTCCTTCAAGACTGAACTGATTCTCATGCAGAACAAGAGGAAAAAAATTGCTAAGATGATGTACATCAATTCCAGTCTGTCACATCAGGGAGAAAAGTCAGGTCTGGTGTAGTGACAAAGCTTCTATCTTTCCACACAACTCTACTACTGATTTGTCGGCGCTTGACACAGAGACAGATACTTACTGGCGCACGTGTTCGGTGGTTGTTGCCTTTAGACTGGGAAAAAAATCCAGTAAGCACTCCTGAGAGCCGCGGTTTGGTGCTGGCTAAAAGCGTCAGATGGCGATTTCGAGTTTCTTGCGGTCTACATTTGTTCACACTGCTATCATGCACCCATCGGGCAAATTCCTGCCGCTGCTCACAAGCGCATGTTCTCACGAAGGACGTCTGGATCGCACTCGAAGGCGATGCTGTGCGACTTGATGCACCTGTATGAGTCGCCGCCCTAGTTGTGATCTACTACTTCTACTGTGTGAATACTGTGTGTAGTAACCCCGGAGGGAGGAGCGTCGCAGGCTCCTGTAGTTCATCAGTTCTTACTTGTTATGCACCATTTTGATTTTCTTTGGCAGTCAAACTGTTTTTTTCTTCCTCACTACTTCAACGACAGGAAATAATGCTTATCGGTGTAGGTAAGTACTACTAAATCGGCAGCGGACAACATCTTTTTCATGAATAGTATAGACTAACGTTGTGCGGTTCATCGGCGATTCAGGATCTCCGAACGCAGAAAGTCATTCGGTTCGTAGATATTGACAGTTTTCGTTTATACATCCGCTTGTCGGGAGCAAATTGAAATTCAGATTCGGGTCAGGTCGATGCTGAAAACACGGAAATTAAAAGTAGAATCGGTTTTGTTCTTTATTATTTTCCATTTCCACCACGACCCGCAGCCACGGGCTATCGAAGCTACCAGGTAAATTATATTTTTCGGTTGTATGATCCACGCACGGCCACGGACGTGGTAGTCAAGTCTGTCTCTGTTTGTTGTACTACGCTGGCTTGGTATTGCTTTCTTATTTCTTGCTATTGCTTGACAGTGACGCGCTTCGGTCGTATCTTGATGGTGTGTCGTCGGTTCCAACATGTTTCCCGCTTGTGCACCTCAGAACAAGGTCACGCTTTTGCATCTTCGTGGTAGGCTACCTAGCGGGTTCGCCGGGCATCTTCATGCTCTTGCATCTTCATGCTCTTGCATCTTAGCGGGTTCGCCGGGCCCGGGGGGGCGGGGGGGCTGTCGCCCGCAAGGAAGCGACGGCGGATTACCTTACGGGGGATCTAGATGGAACAAAGGGGCGCCCCCCAAAGTGGGGCAGTAGCATCGGGGGAAGGGCTTGCTAAGCTGGAACCGCGGTCGGCCGCGTGGGCGGCCAAAAGGTGCGCCAAAAACGCAGCCTCCCACCGGGGGAAGGTGTAAAAATGGTGATTTTCGCGTCCATGGGCCCATTGGTATCCGAAAAGTGAGAGTTTTTTTGTGTCGCGAATCCACCCGTTACGCTTGCGAAAAAGTAGCGAACTTGTTGGACCCTCCGTGGGTCCGCAGTAACATCGTCTTTCGCAAGAAAAAAATGAAAAAATGAAAAAAAAAATCGCCCATTTGTAAAGGGCCTTGCGCTCAATCCGAAATTTGTCAGGCCGCCAAACACGGCGGCATGGTGAAAGCGTACTCAGTGTATAGTCGTGCTTGGGGGTGTGATGTTTTGCCATTTTTGGGACAGAGGCCTCCGCCTGATCAAGCGGATTCTCGTCGTGTTTGAGGTGCAAAAGCGCCGCCCACAAAAATGCAAGAAATGAAAAAAAAAAGCTCAAACGAAAACAAGCAAAAACCACACGACCGCCATATCGTGCGGGGTAACATTAGGCGCGACGGTATGGCGCGCCACGCCAGTTTTTGGATTCTCGCGCGACCGTCCCCGCGCAGCCCGAGCCCCGCCCGGCCCGCCCCCTGCGGGGGCGCCCTTGATCCGTTCCACTCTTCGCAGCACTCTGGGGCAATTCCTTTCTGGCCCAAGAAGAAGGCTGTGAAGAACAAGAGCGGAGCGGGGTCGCAGCCGTTGGGCCCAGACCTCGTTATCGCGCGCGGCCGTCGAAATGCGCGCGTCGCGGTTTTTGCTTCGCAAAACGAAGTGCGCAGCGATTGATCACCGTATCGCCCTCCGGGCGCGACCTTAATATTTCCCGCTTGTGCACCTGAGAACAAGGTCATGCTCTTGCATCTTCGCGGTAGGCTACCTAAACTCATCCATCGCAAACGCAGCGCGAACGCAGCGCGAAGGCTTTGCCGTTGCCATATGGGAGGGACTCGGGAGTATGCAATCACTCGCAAAGTCGGGCATTTCTAAGTGTGTTTTGCCTTCAGAAAGCGGATCGGCGGGAATTTATGTGAATTTTGTCGAAAGCAGCCGAAACAGCAATTACCAAGCGGGAAGAGGGTAAAAAAGAGCAGTTTTGCTGCTCCGCCCGGTCTGAATCTGAAAAAAGAGAGTGGCATTTTCGGCTAGGGTCGATGGTGTGATGCGTTTCATAGCGGAAATTGCGTCACTTCCGGGCAGCTCCAGCCGCTTAAAAATTGAAAAAAAGTGCTTAAAAAGTGTGATTTTTCGCAGCATGCAAGCAGCCGACAAAATTTACCGATTTTCTGCAGTCCCCGGGAAGTGCTTAGAAATTGAAAAAAAAGACGAGAAAAGTTACATTTTTCGCAGCGTGGAAGCGGGCAACAAAATTTGCCGATTTTCTCCAGTCCCCGGAAAACGCTTGGAAATTGAAAACGACAATTTTCGCTGGAAAAGCAAAAGCCGCTTAAAAATTGCCGCTCAAAAGGGGTTCGCAAAATTTTCCGCAGGCCCGTACCACTGGGATTGGACGAAGAGAAACCAATTATCAGCAAGCCTGTGGAGGTGTGTCACACGGGCACGGTTTTCGGCCTCTCTGAAGTCGCAAACTGGAACCCTTCCCCCGCTTGGAAAAGCCCGATCTGGGTGGCCCAAAAGGCCAGCCGATAGATGAGCGCTATGGCATAGTGGCCCTCAGAGAAGGCTACTTTGTTCCAAGGGGCATCGAAAGGATGCCCCGCTGCGAAATAGCAGACCGGATTTCGCCTTCAATGCTTATCGCAGGAGCCTGCGGGCCGCCGCGGGCTCCACCACTTCCCCGCGGCCCCAGTTTGTCATGCAGGGGGCGAGAAAGGATGCCCCGCTGCGAAGGCGGATGGGGGGGGGTCCGGGGGGGGCTTGCCCCCCCGGCCAGATACCTTCCGGGCCAGGTGGTCAGTTTGTGATGCAGGGGGCGAGAAAGGAGGCCCCGCTGCGAAATAGCAGACCGGATTTCGCCTTCAAAGCTTATCGCAGGAGCCTACGGGCCGCCGCGGGCGACAGTAGTTGTCCGCGGCCCAAGGGCCGCGAGCACAACTGCGGCCCGCGACCCAAGAAGAAGAAGTGGGAATCTAGAAATTAAAAAGAAAATGGCGAAAGCGCAGCCCGCGGGCCGCGGCGATGTTACAAAAAGGTAGGTGGGCCTTCGCGCTGGTTAGATTTTCGCGCACGCATTTGGTTACCAATATCGCCCTCCGGGCGCGACCTTAATATTTCCCGCTTGTGCACCTGAGAACAAGGTCATGCTCTTGCATCTTCGTGGTAGGTTACCTAAACTTTCTCATTCTGGCTGCACAGCCGCGTTGACATAAAAACTTCCTCAGATATTGTTGATTCCTGCTCTGCAGTTGGTACAGCCCGAATCCATTTTTTCAAGTCACGTTAGACCAGAAAATCGGAAGAAGTGCATACTTTTTCGCGCACCCGCTGGCATGGCGGGCCGCTTTCGTTTCGCTCCGGGGGTGGTGGGGTGCCCCGACAACACACCCGGCCCGAGAACCTCGCTGCGCCATGCAGCGGCGCGGGCGTTGTGGCTTGTTAAAGAGAGCCGGGGTGGCCTCCCGGCCTCCAAGCCTGCCAAGAGCGAGAAGCGCCGCCCCGCCGAGCGGCCTCTCCGCGGGCCCATCCCTGTCGGGCCGGTGCGCCGCCGCCATGTTTTTGGCCGGAACTGCATGGGCCTGCTCGCCGTACCGGAGGGGCCGGCCCTTGAAGCAGTAGGGCGCGCGCCCCTCAGGTGGGGCCTGCTTCGGCCCCAACAGCCGCCCGCCCCTCAAGTGGGGGGCAGGGAAGGGGGGGCCCGGAAGGCGCGCGCGCCCCCCCCTTCTGGGGGGGGGGGGGGTAAAAAGGGGGCCGAATTGGGCCAATTCTATCCCCTCTTTTAGGGGGGGGCAAAAAATGGCCTTCCCCCGATGCTCAGGGGGGAGCAAAATGAACAGAATCCGGCTCATTTTACCCCCCCCCTAAAAAGGGGGGGCGAATCATTTCAATTCAGCCCCCCTCTTTACCGCCCCCCCCCCCCCGGCAGGGGGAGGCGCGCGCGCCTTTCAGGGGGCCGGCAGTTCACCCGGCGGCCGGGGGCCCCGGAAGGGAAAGGGCGCGCCCGGCCGCAGCAAAGGCGCGAGCTTTCCGGGCTGTGCAGGGCTTCGCCTTGGGGCCCCGGAATGCACGCCGCGTCGGCTGTGTGTCCCCGACGTGGGCCCCGCGCGGGGGCGGGTGGCGAAGTGCTGGCTGCGTGCCGTCACCTTCCTAACTACGCCAGGCCGACCCGCCCCGGTTCCGGCCGCGCAGCCGCAATGCCGGAGGCTAATTTTTCCGGGATAAAGCAGCCCGGAACGCGGTCGCGACTTCGCACCCCCCGACTTCATTCCGCCCACGACCCCCATTGCAAGGGGATGCGCAAAAAAACATGTACTTCTTCCGATTTTCTGGTCTAGTCACACTTTTGTATGTTGATGCTATTCACTTTGACCTCCTGAAGAAAAGATGATTAAAAAGTCCCCATTTATTGAGCACGAATTTGATTGAATTTGAAAATTTGTTTCCATATTATCAGACCGCCTAAATATTCAAGAACATCATGGCAAGCCAATGTGACAAAAGTGCACACCAGCAGTACAAACGGCACTACGTACATCACACTGACCATGTCGCCGCTAGTGTAGTTCTGTTCCAAGTAAAAACCCGATGAGGATGATGAAATTCTGTCTCCTTCTTGCCTCCTACCACCAGGGCGGCGGAGGCGGACCACTTTTCGCCGGCGCGGTGTGGGATCGATTGTTTGGCCGGGAAGATGAAGATGGTTTCTTAGGGCCAGCACATGATGTTCCTGCTCCTCGAGAGCAGAAGAAGGACTTGACGTTGAGCGGAGGAGAATCTTCTACTTTCGCCACGACTTCTAGTTCTGCCACGACTTCTAGTTTCGCCGGAGACGAGCACAAGACCAGTTCGTCGCCCTCTCTCTTGACGACCGATGCGCAGGCGGCAGCGGCCAGTCTTCCTGGTGCGCACGACCAGAAGATGTTGAAGAAGTATCGGCTGCGGGGATCGAAAAATCAACACTTCTTGGAGGACAACGCCGCTAGTACAACTTCTTCCCAGGACCACGACGGGCACAATATCGAGATGGACGGTTTCAATACCGCGGCCGCGGGAGCGCTGCAGACGCAGACCACTTCTGCGGATAAAGATCCTGCTGATGAAATAGAAAACCAGGAACAAATTATAGCGCCAAACACGTCGAAAGAGAACACGAACCCAGGTGCAGCAGCTACCGGGAAGGGCGTTCTTGAGCGCAAAAGTTCCAAGCACAAGAACCACGGGGACCACTTCTACACGAGCACAACAGGAGCGAAGTACAACGAACAACCGGCGGAAGTACAAGTAGACGGGCAACATCAACCCGAAGCTCCTGCAGCTGCGTTCCTGAACACCAGGGTTACAAGTACAACTGTGGCCGATGATGACACACCTCCTCCTCGTCCCCCATCTCATACTATGTTGAAGTCGAAAACGCCCCCGGCCCCGGCCTCCCCGCACAGCTTATCAACCAGAACCACGAGGACTACACTGCAGCCTCAAGAAGTTCTTGTCGGAGCTCCTGTTGCAGTGCTACCACAGCACGACGATATTAACACAGGCTCGGCTTCATCGTCGTTTTTGGGTCGTCGTTGTTTCGGTGATGGGGGCGGATGTGGTGGTAGTCAACAAGCTCCTCCAGCAGGCGCTCCCCCGCCGGCGCCCAGGGCGCCTGGTACAACTCCTACGCCGAAAAATTTGAATCAGAACCAGCAACAATCCACAACTCCTGTTGCTGTTGTATGGCGTTCTCAAACGTTACATTCTGAACTGTTACGTGGATTTGTAATGCAAGAACAGCAACAGTGAAACAGGCAAGATTGCAGCTTTCGCATCACAGATTTTCCACAGATCATCATGCTGCTTAGCGCTTCAAAAATTTGTCATGCTAAGCACGTTGATCAAGTGGAGGGTGGTGGCAGTTTTGCATGACAAATCCGTGTAACAGTTGAGAACGTAACACTTGAGAACGCCATATGTTGCGGGAGCACCAGGCCTTCCGCTTGCACCGGGAGGTGCTGGCGGTGTCCTCTCGTCTTCCGGGGGTGATCCTGGCGCCCCTGGTGCAACCCGGCAACCCCTGTTGCAGAGCAGTGCAGCGCAAGTGCCTGCGCCAGCAGGTAGCGCAACTTCAGCGCAACCATTACTGCAGAGCAGTGCAACTACAGCCCCGCTTGCGCCCGGACCTCCTCCTGGTGGGAGTCTTCAACCTCCGCCCCCAGAGGCGAGGACGATGTTGACCACCAGAACGTCGGTCCAACAGCGCGCCGAGGGCGGACTCCCACCTCCAACCACAACTGTGCCAAGCAGTGCGACAACTACGGGTGCTGCCCCGCTTGCAACAAGTGCAACTTTTGGTGACTCCTCTACTTCCACTGCGTTGCGACCTCCCGGACCACCGTTCGCGCCCTCGGGCGGCGGGGGCGCGGAATCGGTCTATCAACCGGGAATAGGCCCTACCCAGCGTGTAGTTGGAGTTGCAACTGGACCTGGAGCAGGCGGATCGCCACCTCTGGCGACGACTACATTGACGGCTCCTGGCGCACCTGCTCCGCCCGTGCCGACCACGACGACGATGACCACTCCGTCCGGTGTTGTACCCGAAGGTCCGCCCCCCGGTGGTGATGTGGGCACCAGCTCGGGTGGTCGAGGTGGGACGACCGCAGTTGATGCTGGTCCTGATGTTGAGAAAGCACCTGAACTACAACCACTACCTGTTAAGGTTTTGCGCCCCGAGGACTGGTCTCTGGCGGAAATGCAAAATACACTGCCTCAAGGAGACAGCAAAGCAAAGGAGATGCTTATTCCAGAGCAAAAACAATTGAGCCCACGACTAACGAGGACCCTAGAGTCGGTTACAGTTCAACATGAATATTATCGCATACATGGTTGTGGTTCTACTTTCGTGGTTTGATAACCACGAATGTAGAACCAGCATATATCTTCCAGTAATACGCATGACAATCAAGTAGAAGTACAAGAACAGGTCTCCTGGGGTCGTCATCGTCAATGGCCATGAGGCTACTTTCTTTCTCCTAGCATATACGATGCGGAAATCGCTAAAGCGGACGTACGCACGAAAATTTTGGTGGAAAATGTGATGGGCTGGAAGCTTTCTACCTCGCCAGATCAACCTTCACCGGAAGGTCTTTCGACTGGTGCAACAACTACTGGCGAAGCAAGCGATGATCCGAAGACAACGACCGTCCGCGTCCGCAAGTGTTATCAAGATACGAAGATCAGTATCCTGTGTGAAAACGTCCCCACCCCGCAGTCAAGATGGGAAATTTGCTAGACAAATCCACAAGTTTTGGGACTAGCGCATGACAAGTTTGGGGACGCAGCATAGTCCTGCCTAGGTACTTGTTAGCCGCGACGCATTACAGCTCCACTCATCTCTTATCCTGATTCGCGCATGACAGATTACCAAACACGAGCAGAAAATGCCCGTCATGCTGAGCCGCATGATAGATGTTTCTGGGCATACAGATTTGCACGACAACTTCTTTGGATTGGGGACGTTTTTTCTCTGGATATGCAAGGGTGTTGGTCCGAGCAATTTCATCGAACATTTCTTCGTGACATTTGACCTTCCGGACGGCACGGAGTGGACGTCCGAGTATGGTCCGAACGGCGGCGTGGATATGGATTCTGCAAACATGTCCTCTGGGTCATCATATTGTTGAAGGGTCGTCCACCAGGTTTGTCATGCTTGGCCAGTATGACTTGTCTCAACGATCTGTGATGCACGTTCTTACCCAAAAACCGCAGCTCCTTGCTGTCATGCACAAAACAAAGCGGTTTGCCATGCAGAAAGGGCACCAGTACCACCTAGCGCCCCAAAGCATTTATTATGCTTGGTTGTGAATCTGAATGGAGGCGTCCTCATGACTGTCCCACCCGCATCACAAGTTTCCAGACTCCGACATGTTTGCACTTGATCGCGGACACCTATGAGAGCAGGAAGGACAATCGGAGGCTCGCGAGATTGAGTTATTTCATGTGCAAGCATTATATTAAACAAGTATCGAGTACTCGGACTCGGACAATGAATTGCGGTTGCGCATGACAAATCTAACTTTCCACCTTAATATGCTCCAGCATGAAAAATTGCATTTTTCTTCGATCATCTTGTTCTACAACGTACTTCGGAAATGAAATTCGTACGTGCAATTCATTGCTACGAAAAGTAAAAAGTACTTAGTGCGCTACTTTTGCGATGCATAGGAGTGGCCTATCAGATGATACTGGGCAGGCCCCTTTAGACGATGCTGCGTGGGAGAATTTCAAGCAACAGGACCGGGATTTCCAGGCCAGACAAGATGAGTTCGGTGTGCAAGACTGGGGAGACTACATGGCAGCGTATCGGGCCCTTGGCAAACAAGATCCCGCCATATGCCTAAAAATGCAAATATGTCTGAATCTGGAAGAGCGCACTTGTTTATTGTCATGCATCTTCTCGTGGACCAAGCAAGAGCAACCAGATGGACTGGAAGACTAGATACACAGAGAAGCATGACAGATTCTTGCACAGGAGCTTCCTAATGCCCAATCTGCATGTTGAGAAATTCGCTCTATGCGTACAACTAGCAAGAAAAAATAATGTGGGTATCTCTTGGCAAGACCAAGAGATATTTGTCTGTTCATCCAGACACATCAGACTTGGCAAGACACGTGGCAGTGTAATTTCAGACACCATGATTGGGATATTTGCACTGGATACGCCGGCGAAGCGAAAAACCAATATAAATCGCCGTGGTTGTGTGCGTTTCAGAAAGGCGCTGTCCAAAAGGTCGCGAAAGCCTGGAGAAACGACAAGAGCACACTTTTGCAGACCGGAATCAGCGCTTTGATTGAGCCGGTCTGGGAAAACTTCGAATTCGAAGTTATGGGGCTGAACAATGGATATCAAGAGGAAAAATCCCCCCTCCCCATATCGAAATGGAAATCTGTGATGCAGGATTTGTGCACACAAATCGGATTTGTCCTGCGGTAGAGGACTGCAGACAGATACAAAGCCCGGAAAGGGGCGGCTTGGGGTAGGCACTTAGCATGGCAGACGTCTGCCCTAGTAGCGTAGCAGCATCACAAATCGCCTGCGAAATGCAGCGGAAGCCCTGGCTTTGCTCTCTTGCAGGATAGACTACATCTGTGGCGACAAATCAGCATCACAAATTTTGAAAAGCGCGCCTTTTCGATATGGGGAGGGGGGATTTTTCCTCACAATAATGGCGAAGAATTAAAGAAGCGCCTCAACCAGCTCGCCGTTGCGACCGGTTTCGTCGCGGGAGAATACAGCGCTCTTCGGCCATACGGCAAGAACTGTCAAACGTGGACGAACGAAGTGGCTAACGCCCTCCGGACGCAGAACGATTACGAGTTGAACGTGAGCCAAAAGTCTCGGTTTTGGCCCGGTGGTTCTCGCCTCCGGACGGGAAAGGATTTTTCGGACCCAGAACAAGGCCCAAATTACTTGGTGGAAACGCGAGCCCCGGAGCTGGAAAAGAAGCTCTACGCGTTCCGGGTATGATATTGATAATGCACATAGGTCTGGGTCTAAATAAAGAATTGAACAACTTGTGATGCGAATTTTGCCGGACACAAAAATCTGTGTTGCATGAGCACCAATAGTTGTTCATTTCTCGCAACGCAAAAAGCCGATTTCCCATGCAGAAAAGGCATGATAGGACGGCATGTGCACAACTTGTAATGCGCTTGTCCGCATTCCAGGCCACAACCACATATGTGGTTCAGAACACGCATGGCAAACAGTCGTGTCGAAGTCTTTCAGACCCAGACATGTTTGCACATTCGATATCGGGAGCTATGAAATGCAAAAATGTCTGGGTCTGGAAGGATCCGAACTTGCGATGCGCATTTTAGAACACAGAAAAATCTCTCATGCATGGGTAGCAAAAGCTGCCGACTTTTTGCCACCAAAATGGGGGATTTCTCATGCGGATTCGGCATTGCGGAAGCTTCTCGAAACCTGTGATGCTAGAGCCTCCATGCCAGACCTTCTGTGTCATGCAAAAACAGCATGACTCTTCCAGACCCAGACATTTTTACATTTGATAGGAGCGCCTACGCAACAAGAGCTGTGAGCCGGGAATGGACCCGCGGAAAAAAGAGGCGTACATCTCGCTGTTTGCTATTCCACGAAAAAAACGTTGTTAGTGTAAATTAGTGATGCGCAACATGCAAGATGATTGCGTCCGTCATGCTTGGCATGCATTGCAGGGTCCATGAACAAAGGGCGTTCTTACGTACTATCTGCGCATGACAGGTTTTTGCTGTCATGCCAGACAGATTTGTAATGCTGTTCCTCCAAAAAAGTGACAATTACAATGTTTTTTTCTTGGATATTCGCCTACCACAGTCTCTTGCTCAAATTCTGGATACAAGAAGTGGACACTCTCTTGCAGAAACATGGACTTTAGGCACTGCAAAAGGTTCTTCGTACTTACTCGTAGAAGTCGTAGTTGTGATTCTTGCAAGAAGTATGCATTATGCAACAAGTTTCATCTACTTCCTAGAGGTAAAAAATATGCATTGCGCCTTGCATTTCTCATGCTGAGAAAATTTGTTAAAGCAATCCCATACCCATAGTACGACCACGATCTCGAAATGATCTCGATGCCTTTGCAGTGCATAAAGGTGACGCGCTTCGCAAACGGAACGCAAACGCTGAAATCGCGAAAATTTCCATCCAAGCCGAGTGCCCACCACCCAGGCGTATCAAATGTAAAAATGTCTGGGTCTGGAAGATTGCCAGGTTTGTCATGCATATTTTGAATGACCCAGGATCGATCTGTGATGCATGCCTTAGCATCACAGATTTTCAGAGGACTTTGTGATGTAGTCTCTACCGCATGAGAAATGCCCTCGTCTTCACGGAGCACAAACTGGAGTTGTCCTTTTGCTGGTCATGCAATACAAATTTTTTTAGAATCCAGAGACAGCATGACAAGTTTGAAATCTTCCAGAGGACCCAGACATTTTTACGTTTGATAAGGCGAGTCGGTCACCTATATCCTGGACACTAAGCAGCTATTGGCCTCGCTCTCCGAACGCCGATCGTACTGTTCTAGTCCCAGAGCGACCATTTTTTGTGCTTGTGATTTGTCGTTGCACAGTTTGTAATGTCAAGAGTAGAAGACCTCCCTTGCTGCAGATCCAGCAACGATGGTGGTCTTCTGTTTGTTATGCAAAACCGGCACGGCGCGTGTCGTCCTTGCGATGTATTTTTTTTTTTCGCCGTAGCTTTATATTTTCTCATTTACATTTTTCGACTTTGATTTTTGGGTACTATCTTCCTTCTTGTTTGAATGAATTAAGATTAACATCTTCATAAAAATGATCCTATATCAGTCGCGCTTTTGACGATACCGGTAGCCTGCTTAATAATTGCTGAACATGAAAATGTTTGTTTGTATGGTTCATGTGTGCTTTTTCATCTGATTATAGCGCTACACCAAGATCGATGTTGTTAAAGCTACTTGACTTTTTTGATGAAATGCCAGTGCTCTTTTTTTCTGACATTACAGCCGTACTATCGTCTGTGTATCGCTGCACCGATGCCGCGTCGTAGAAAATGAATATCAACGTAGTCGGGGAAATCGCATTTGTCCACATCGGTCGCGCTGTGAAGTTCTGGCGCTTTCTTGTTTTTAGGAAAACATCATGGTCCTGCGCAAATCGGCAAAAAATCGCTATCTCCTTGGTTGTACCACTATATTTCCTCCTCTCTAGTACTAGCACGCAGCTTGTAAGAATCATGTCGGTTCGAACTCCTAACTACAAGAAGTGCTGTCCCGATCGGTTGTAGTCCATTCGTGCATAGACTTCTCCGAATGGTCAACATCGGTTGCACACGACAAACAGGTGGCTTGCTGTGGTCTTCGGCATCGTCGCACATAAGTTGTACCTAGGTCGCGCGCACTTGCTACCTATCGCCGACGTGATATTAATTTTAATGCAAGTGCTACTATAATTTCTAAGACCTCGCGTTACCACGAGGCGGTACGTCTTGATTGTCATTTACATCGATCACGTCGACAGGAGGCACCTTGAATGTTGAGTCATGTGACAATTTCAATTTGCATATCCACTAATTCCCGCTACTAGCAGATCGTAATTGGATTGTCAATCCGGTTTGAGACCTTTATACAGAAGGTTGAAGTGTGACCGACATACATTGCCCCGTCACAGAACCAGGAGCAGAAACGAATATTAAATTTAAACCTAGAAAAAAATAATATACAACGACGGTTCGATCACGATCGTCAACAACTACTTAAGAACAACTACGCTAAAAAACTTATCAACACAGTGCGCAACTCCACCCCCTCCCCCTCATTTGTAGTGCATTTCCAGCAGCGCCAGCAGCAGTAGATGAAACCAATGCAAATCAAATGCGGTCTCTGCATGATATACAAAACCACGCGCTGAGCATAGTGCTAGTGCAGTTTGGGCTTCCAGAACTTGTGACGCAAGCACAGCCGAAAGGCTCACCTCAGACAGGATTTGGCATTTTTGCATTACAAACGTGGGGCGGGAGGGGAACTTGTGGACTCGGATATAACTTTTCCTCTTTCTACAATCAAATAAAAATATCCATATCGACATTGTGTCGACATTCGACTTCTTCCAAGGACCAATAGGCGCTTTTTACTTCTTTTCCCTACTACACATCACACTGCCATCTTCTACTTCTTCCTGCACAGAAATAGAAGTTCTTGTAAGCTGCAGCTCATCTACTTTATCTTGCTTCCACCTCCTGGTGAAGATCCTCAAGCGTGAAGATCAGGCGAAATAGTTGTCTGGCGCTTCTGAGTTGTTGTTCTTCTTGGGCCAACAACATCAAGTAGAGAATTTTACAACCAAAAAGAAGTTGTACTAGGCCATGAAGATGTCTCGGAACAAGTCCCTGACCATGATGAAGAAAATGTCAGTCGCTCCTGCGCCTCTGACTGCAGCTGTTTGCAGCGTGCTGGTCGTATTATTACACGCGTTGTGCTGCGGGTGGTCCTCGTATGGATTGCAAAAATGTCTGGGTCTGGAAAGTTGAGCTTGTGAAGATGCTGCGTTTGGATTCTAAAAAAATCTGTATTGCATGAGCAGCAAAGAGAGTGCAATTTTTGCTACACGGAATAAAGGGCATAATTTGTCATGCGGTATAGGCATCAGGAAGCCCTCATAAAATCTGTGATGGTACTAGGGCATGCATCACAGACATCAGGAGTCACGCAAAATGTGCATGACAGACCTTGGATCCTTCCAGACCCAGACATATTTGCATTTGATACCTCGTTTTCTTGCGTGACGAGCGTTCGTGCAGTCCTTCTCCTTGCCAGTCCCAGAAGCCGCGGGCAGCCTCGTGGCGGAAGCAGGGGTAGCAGCAGAGGTCGTCGTGGTCATGCCGGAACGGGTACAGGGGTGGTGCCGGGTATGGGCGTGTCAGGATTGAAATCGTCAGAGTTGAAATAGTTTGTCATGTTGCATGAATTGCAAGGCATGAAGCGCCTCTCTTGCAGGGATGGCAAGTGAGGCCGACTGTCAGCCTGTTTGGGGTCTGCGGTCGAGCTGCGAAATAAAGTAGCATGACAAAAGAGGACGCCTTCTGGGGCCCCTAAACAGCATGACAAACTGAATTTACACGGTGCAGAGATCATCTGTCATGCGCCGCTTGGAAATTGGGCTTCCAACTGGTATCGATTTTATGCATGGCAAACTCTTTCAACTCTGACGATTTCAATCCTGACGCTTCCATACTGGGCGCGGAGCAAGGTGGAAAGGCCGCGTCGGACCAAGGGGCGCACTGGGGCGACGTGCCGGACCCAGTTTGGGCCGTGATCAACGAAGGCGCACGCGCGCGTTCGTATCCGGGCTGGTCCGACTTGATTTCGCTTTTCAGAATCGTGTTTTCCGGTGAGCTCCAACCGGGGGCCGCCCAGCTGGAGCACGCCCGAGACGCGGTGTTGCTGGGGACCATCCAGCGTGCGTGGGGTTCTGAAACGGGACTACCGATCACTCCGGTCGAAGAAGGTTTGATTCGGTGGCATCTCTTTTTCCAGGCGTGGAGCACGTTTCCCCAACAGGTTGTCTCGCCGCTTGCCGAAGTAAGCAGGCGCTTTCGCGGCTTTTCTTCGGTGCGCCAGCCGGCCCGCCTGGGCCAGTTCCTCTCGGAGGAGCTTTTCGCTACGAGTCACGTCGGATGGCAGCAATCCACCGGGCCGGGCGAGTACATTGCGGGTCAGCAGTTCGCTTCCAAGTTTCTCGCCACGTTCGAGACGGCTCTCAAGCGGCCGGGTGCCGCAACGTACCTGCGGGATGGTATATGCATTGCAAATGAGTCTGGGTCTGGAAGATTCTAAACTTGTAATTATACAAGAGGTGAACACGCTCCACACGTAAAAGGTTAAGCTTGTCGCTTTTCGCTTCTTTGTCTTTCTACTAGTCGCAAGCTACCCTTGACCCACTCCGCACTAGAAACCAAAAGCAACACACAACAACGACCAGGCAGGCACCCCGCCGCACCCTCACGCACTCCCCACAGGCGCACAGCAAGGCGACAGTCCCAGT